CACCACCACACATCACCCCCCCCCACAACCACACATCACCCCCCACACACACCCCACCCCACCCCCACAACCCCCCACCCGGGGCGCCGCTTTGTAGTCCTCCGTTCTCAAAAACATCAGCTGCTCGCTGGGAAACACCGACGTCCACGCATCCACAAACTCGCTGTACATGCCCTTGACGAGCTGCTGGGGCTCGTAACGCTTCACGCACTCCTTCACGCCAAAACGCTGCTCGCAAGTGGTCCACAGCTGCGAGGGGGTATGGGCCGCGGGGGGGGAGAGAGCAGAGTTGGGGGGAGGGGTTTGGGGAGTGGGTTGAGGAGAGTCCGCCCACATGCTGTATGAACAAACATACAAACAAACAAACAATCAATCAATCATTCAAACAAACATATACACATACATACAAACAAACGAACATACATTGATATCCCGCTCCACACGCTCATGGAACTTGTCCGGGCCCTCGAATGGGTCGGTGGGTCGCCGCCTGGGGGTAGTGAGAGGGGGGGAGGGTGAACTATTGGCGAGGGGGAGGTTTTAAACAGACAGACAGACAGACAGACAGACAGACGGAGGACCACAGGGGACGAGGTGGATTGGAGCCCTGAGAAGCGGGAAGTCCATCAGCGCATGAAAGCGCAGAAAGAAAAAATATCGCGAATGACGAGATAAATCTTGAAAACGCGCGTGACATGGTAATCGCGAGGGGGAAAAGTAGCTTGCGAGGCTTTATAGTTGAGATCCATCCCTAGTACGGCAGAGTACGGCATATACGTACCTGTAGTAATGGAAGGCCGAGTAGTATCGGGAGACAGGGTCGCGCATAATGATGATCTGATGACATCGTTGGGAAGGGGAGGGAAGGGTGGCCGGGAAGAAGATTTATTATGGGGAAAAAGGAAAAGCGAGTGAACACCATCTCATTACTCATCCTCGTCGTTATGCGAGGAAAGTGAGTGCAGCAGTACAGTCGAATACACGACGACGTGATGGTGATGATGGTGATGATGGTGATGATGATGATGGTGAGGAGGAGAAGGAGGAGGAGAGGACCATCATCAACACGGGCAACACGAAGCAACATCGACAGCATCCACCACCACCACCACCACCACCACACAAGGGCCCCCACACACATCCCTACCTTTCCCCCTTCCACTTCACTTCACAAGCACACTTAGCAAGCCATATCTGAAAACTCTTCCAAAAACACGTCACAAACCACTGACGCGAATCGTTGCCAACGGGCTGCACCTTACACAATCCGTACAGTGTACGACAGTAGTCGTACCTGGCGCTGGTACGGCTGCGCCTCATAAATAAGCTGCGCGAGCGTGACGTTGGTCTTGAGACGAGCCAAACCACTGCGGAAAATATTCACACAAACACACACACATACATACACACATACACAGATGTGGGGGAGCGGAGAATAAGGTTTCGATGCCGCAAGAGGGTTTCGGAGCGCCTAGCCAAGCAGGCGCCTTCCCCCCAGCTTTCTGCCTAATTAAGATCCCAGGTCAGCCCAAGTCCCAGGTCAGCCCAAGTCCCTGGAGTCAAGTCCGACATGATTATATATAGCGGGTTTCGGAGCGCCTAGGCCAGCGGGGCGCCTGCCTCCTAGGGCTTTCTCCCTGGAGTCAAGTCCCTGGAGTCAAGTCCGACATGATTATCATTTATAATGTAAAAAATACAAGGAGGAGAAACATAACAACCTCTCTAATTTAAGGAGGGATAACGGAAAGAAGGGGAGTGACAACAACGTATTGAAATACCGAGAAGCCGAGAAGTTGTTAAATAACCTCCATTGGGCCGCCTCCACTCGCACGCTCGCTCCCCCACCCGCTGCCACCCACCCGAGTCACCATCACCCGGTGACAGCCGGACCCAAATTCCTTTTCGCCAAGACGTGTGACCCCTTGGGGTCCTTCCCGCCTTGCCCGCCTGCCTAGTGACCGGCCCCCCCTCAGGTCGACCTCAACACCCTCCACCCCCCCACCCCCCCACACACACACCACACCTCGTCCTCTCCTCCTCCCCCTCCTCCCCCCCCCTCCTCCCCCCCAGCCCCTTTTCATTAACTTACCGTACAAACGTAAAAACACCCGTGTACGTGTTTGACGAGGCTTCTCCCACAATAGCCTGCGGCAGGTTTTAACAGTTTTAACAGTTTAACAGTTTTAACAGTTTTAACAGTTTAGTTTTTAGGGTTTTAGGGGGGAAAAGGGCACCGACGGAATCCAATGTGCGCATCGTCGTCGTCATCATCATGACCATCACCATTATCATCACCATCATCATTATCATTACCATCTTTACCGTTGTGCTTTTAAACTGATTTACGTCATCAGCGGCAATGATGGCATGTGCTCCAGGCCAGCATAGACCCCCCCTTTCATACATACACACACACCCACACACACATGCAAAACCCAGAGCTATTTCTCTTACAAGCGAATTTGTTCGGATTACAGCGGCGCCCTTCTCGAAGAGGTTGATGTAGCCGTCGAAGTCGCCGTTCGGCGGGGCGGTGCAGGCGCCCTTTGGAGGGTACGGGCATTCGTCCCAAAAGTGAGGGCCCTGGGGGGGTGTCGTATACATACACAGATACACATATGAGAGCACTAAGGAAAGGGATCTTGACCGTGGTTCTTCGGGGGTTGCGGATTTGAAAACAGATTCGGATTTAAATTTAAATTTAAATTCACAGGACACAGAATTAGGGGCAGGCCGGTGGCGTTTGGTACGCAACGTGCGGGAAAAAAAGGATGATGAATGCTTGGAGCTCCCAACTTGCAGATGACCCGGCCCAAACACACACACATACATACATACAGGCCCCTCTCCCCCCGCTGCTAGGGTTTGAGTGCTTCAATGGTCGTTCCCGTTGGGGTATGGTTAGGTGCCCCTGGCCAGTGTCAGGCCTTGATCGATATGTAATATAATACATACATATATACATTACATAAATACATGCATACACACACGTACAGACATACATACATGCATACGTTTCAAACGTGTGCACAGGGCCCTCCTCCTGGCATCGCCAGTTCCCCACCGCCACCACTACACTACCACACACACACACATATACATACACACACACGAACCTTGGCGCCCTCGGCCATGTCAGGGTGACGATTCAGCCTGCCGTACAAATCCGTCGTACCGCACTTGGATACGCCGATGATTTGAAAGTACGGCGCGCACCTGAAGCGCCCGCTTGCATCCGTCCAGCAAGGGTTACGGTAGTTCTTGTCGAAGGCCTGATCGTGTCAGTATGGTCGGGGGGGAGGGGGAACGGGGGGAAGGGAAGGGTTGGGAAAGGCGCGTGTGGTCAAATTCCGGTTTGGGTTTTTGTCTTTTCAAAATTCTCTTCGTCGTTTCCATTTTATCGCCCAATATATTTCGCTTCCCACTTATTAGAGATATTGTAAGGAAGCCTGTTATTATACATACATACATACATACCCACAGTCCGCCTTGAACGCTTCTCGCTACAGCATCATGTACCAGGACCGAAAGCTGTATGATCCCTCCTCCTTCCAAGCAGCAACACCAGATCCCCCTTTTCATCATCATCAACATAACCCCCCTAAAAACACAGCAGCCCCCGGTGCCACAAAGGCATCGAAAAAAACATCAATGCGCGCCGAGAGAACGGTTGAGTATCCCCCATGTACGATATCGTACACCCCGTCAGCCGTACACACCTTTGGCAGCACCTCCCAGGTGTCCGGCGCCGCCTTGACGATCTCCTCGTGGTTCGAGGAGGGTTTGAAACTGGCCCAAACATCCGCAACGTGATAGCTGGGGGCGGTGAACTGGGAAAGGGGGAATGACCGTGGTCAGGTATGTATGTATGCATGTATGTTGTATGTTTGGCGTGACATTAATGGTCACACGTGACGTCATCACGTGTGACCATTAATGTCGAATGATGACTTAGGACTACGGTGTGTGCAGGAGGCATGAGGAAAACGGGAGCTCTTCCCCCCCGGGTGCACAGCAGGTATTGCCGCGGCCCCCCTCAGACCACCCGGTTTAACACGGCAAGCAAGGCAAACCCAAAAAGGCAGACAAGGTATGCGCAGGCAAGCGGGTGGGAAAGGAGGCGGGTGGTGGTGTTCCTTTTGGGGTGTTGTGTAGCTGGGAAACAGCCATCCTTTTCCCCCCAGGTGGTTCAAATTTCAGAGGCCATGCAGATTGTGCGAGTCCATCTGTATTACCTTAGATAGGTAGGAAGTGGGGTTAATTTCTTGGGCGCGCACCATGGCGATGGCCATGAGGACACTGCACGAGAGGTACGGGCCGTCGTTCGACAAGAAACGCAGAGAGAGAGAGAGAGGTATGATCTTTGTTTGAGATCATATCATGGTATTAGGTAATGGCGTGGGATTGACTTTGGTTACCAAGGGCTGGCCATCGCCGAAGCGGCGGCATGGTCGAAGCAACAGCTGTTGGGTTACCAGTTTATGTTCAGGAAGTATGTAATATAAAGCACGAAAGGATATAATTGCTTACAAAATTGGTCGCAACATCTTGGTGTGTGGGCTGCTGCAGGCCAGCTGAGCTGCGACCTGCGGACGGCGCAAAGTCGCCCTCCGTTGCTAATCCCGTTGATCAGCCTGCGATGTGAAGCTTTCTGAAGGTATCTCAAATTGTCCACACCACCCTAACGTGCATTCCTTAGCTGGAAATGCAAATACAGTTGCTTGACGAAAAACCGCAGAGCGTCACTTACAATATAAGAACTTCTCTCCAATCGATGATCGTGTATGTTGTTTCTTTCTATAAAAGCAGAACTAAGGTATTATTATAGTCCTGTGCTATGATCGGTCGAGGGCCTGGATCGTGCAACTGCCAGTCATCCATGCAAAGATGTCAGCCCCATGTCCATGTTTGCGCTGTATTGGACTGCGTATCTAGAATCCTTTCCACACTTGCCCATCCTTACGATGGCCCGTTTGTCGACATTGCCCAGGATGAGCCCGGAGACTCAGTCCCTTGTAACTACTGGACTCGTTGTATTAATTGCATATGTCGCGTTTCACTGGAAGTATTATTATAGCCAATTCTATCTGGATGTCTGGCGAACCGTCGACCCTCGTCGCCAAACTTTTGTGCCGAGAACGGGCTTAGGTTTAATAGGTATGGTCATAAGGGATTTCCATATCGCAAAAGGAGTAGATTGCGTTCCCTGCTTGAGGGCTGGAGCGCTCACCTGTCCAGTCCACGCTTTCTTAACGGGTGCCTTGTCCCGTGGAGGAGAGTTTCGTCGCATGTTTGCCATTAATTGCCCTCCACAATGTTCAAGTGGCTTAAGATATTGACTTAAAACCTGGCAGCTATCCATGCCTTCCGGGATTGTCTTCCCAATCCTTGCATGCTCGCCGGCCTGACCGACTGATATTCCCCTTCCTACGTACCAATCCCTCCTCCATATCATTCCCCGCGTTTGCTTCATCATCACGACGTCGCTTTTCGTCCAACGGACATCCTAGTACCCACACAGGCCCCGGGGCCCCTCAAGCGACGGTAGCTTCGCCGCTCTTCCACCCCTCCCGTCCTTATCTCCCCCTCCCCCAATTTCGCAACCTTTTTACCCTTTTCTCCGTCTTTTGCCACCATCCGTTACTATCTCACAGTTCGCTGCCTCATCATCTACTATCTGTACAAGTCCGTCAGAAGGGCTCTAGAATGGTGGCAGCGGCGCGACGAGACGCGGAAAGCCGCTCTCAGAGCGCAAGCCAATGCGGCGGCGCGCGCGGCTGCGGCGGTGCAGCTCCAGCAATCCACCGTACAAGCTGGTGCGCGCGCGCCCCTGTCCTAAGGAATATTAGAGGGATGGAGTGGGTGGAAAGACGAAAGGAGGGGAGGGAGGCAACATATATCCAAGGAGCTAAGGGCCATGAAGGAGGGCGGAATGAGACGAAAGAGAGAAACTGATGGACGGACAGACAGACAGACAGACAGACGTAGTAAGGTCTCTGAACCGCATGAGACGATGTCGCCTGAAGCCAACACAACGGCGCTAACCCGGAGCTGTATCGCTGCACCCCTCTATACCCGCTTTCCCACTTTCCCCCCCCCATCTGGTCCATCCCCCTTGTCTAACTAACTTTTCCCCCTTGTCTAACTAACTTTTCCCCCTTGTCTAACTAACCTCTAACCGCCCACACCACCACACGCGCGTGTGCGCTGTGTATGCTGGATCGTGCTCCCGCGGCCGCCACGTTGTGCGGTTCGCCGCCCTGTGCAGCTGCCGCCGCGGTCGCTGCGGAGCGTCACAGGCAGAGCCTGCTGGCGCAGGAGG